TGTCGGTTAATGATTAGAGCTAGAAATAGAGCTTGGTTAGAGTTTAAGAAAAACGGTTTGGTGGCTCAGAGAAGAGTTTTTGTATTTTACTGAAGTTTGGTAAAGAAATTATGCTTAGCAAAGAAGAAAGAATTTTGTAAAAGGTTACAAAATGAAAAAATTTTTATAAAAATAATAGATTATTTTGGAATTTATGTAAAGCAAGAGGAAATTGTGTTAGGGTAAATATCAGTTTACTTGATTGGTTTAGTTATTTCTTCTCCCTTTATGGCTCTGAGAGTCCATACAATGTTGATTTAGTGGTTTTTAATGATTGTGTGACTTGGTCGAATGAAATATTGGATTCTTATATTTCGGAGGAAAAACTAAGAATCGTTTTAAGTAAGTCGAGTGTTGGTGGTGTTCTGGGAATAGATGGTATTCCTACTGAATTTTGGAAAATTGATAGTGCTTTCTTTTGTTTATTAGATAATTTTAAGGTTTTGAGAACTAGTGTTATTCTAGATGAATAGAAGAGTTCTTTATTGGTCCTGGGTGCCTAAAGGTGGCTCAAGATTAGTACTTACAAATTGTAGAGGTATCTCGTTGTTGTGTTGTGTCTCTAAGATTTTTTGTAGAGTTTTGTATTACAGGTTAATAAGTTGGTTGAGTATGAGAGATATTCTATCAGAGAGTCAAGCTGGTTTTCGTGCAGGCTACTCGACTGTTGATAATATTTTTATCCTGTATACTGTTATTGCTAAGACATTAAGTAGGAAATGGCATAAGGTTTATGCTTTTTTATAGATTTAGCATCAGCATTTGATTCTGTTGATAGGAATTTATTATGGAGGAAATTATTAAAGTTTGGTTTAAGTTTTAAGTTTGTATCTTTATTGGCAGAGTTATATAGTGGCTCAAACGTTAGGATTAAATGGAGGAATTGTCGTTCTCAACCTTTCTTTTCTGATAAAGGTGTTAAACAGGGTTGTATATTTTAGTTTATTCTTAAATGATTTATTGAATTGTATTGATGACTCTGGCGGAGATGGTATAGTTGTTGGCAGTGTTTCTGTTAAGATATTATAAGATATTAGCATATGCAGATGACGTGGTAATCATGGCGGATTCTCCGAAGTCATTGCAAAGGTCGATTGACCTTCTGGATAAATATTTAAAAGATAATAGTTTACAATTGAATCTTGCAAAATCTAAAATTGTGGTCTTTCGAAATGGTGGTAAGGTTTCTAAGGTTGACAAATGGTGGTTCCGAAGTGTTCCAATTTCGATTGTATCACAATATAAGTATTTAGGTGTAATTTTTAAAAATAATGGTTATTTTAATACCCATGTGAGGTCCTGTAAAGTTAATGCAGAGATAAAAATGGACAAAGTTATTCATATGTGTCAGTCTGCTAAGTTGTGTAATTTGAAGGATCGGTTAAGGTTATTTAATGCTGTGGTGGGTTCATCTCTTCTTTATGCTTCCGAGGTGTGGGGGTTTCAGACGGAAAGCTTGGATACAGTATTAGTTACTTTTGTTATGAGAATGTACGGGCTTCCAAGGTGTACTCCTGGTTATTCAGTGTCTACGGAGTGTTCATTGATTCCTTTATCTTGTTTGATCTTGAACAGATATGTTAATTGGATTTTTAGAACGTTGAGTTTAAATGATGAACGTCTTAGTAAGATTTGTTTGCGTTCTGTTTTGAAACAAGTTGAGTTACTTTGGTCAAAGTACTGGTTGGCTAATTGTTCAAGGAACGGAATCAATTTTGATAATTTGTTACAAGATGTTAATAGTGTTTATTTATTAAAGTTAAATAATTTTGATAATTATATTTCGAAGTTGAATCATGGTATATTATTAAGTTCTTACTGTGAGTGGTATAAGAGTCTGAATAAACCCTTTTTTGATTGTTCCATTTATAATAGTAATTTTTCTTCTAATGTTATGGCCATATTAATGCAAGTAAGGTGTAATTCATTAAGTTTTTTATGTAATTACAGAAGGGACAGTTGTGTATGTGGTGTGGCTGACTCGCCATTGGATGCGTTTCATATTATCGCTGTTTGTACTTTTCTCTCAAAATTACGTGAGGAAACATTTGGAGTTCCCTGTTTTTCATTTAATCAGTTTAAAAAAGTTATTTCTGATTTTGATTTATTTTTTAAGGTATTTACTTTTATAAAGAAGGTTAAATTGTTTCTTTCATAATGTTTATAATATATTTGATCTTGATTTTTTTTCCTCTCTTTTGTTTTTAGGCTTAAAGCGAAAGTAGTGGTTATTTTATGTAAATTTCATTTTGGGGCATGGTCTGCCTTTATTTAACCTGTGGTTGCTTGGACTGCTTGGGAGACTATCCGAATTTTTTTGAAAGTGATATAAACTGTTGTTTTTTATTTTTCTAGGTAAGTTTTAACCTAGTTGGTTGTTAATTTGTTTCGGATAGTTCTCCTATGTAGTTCTTTAAGTTTTTTTGTTGAATTTGGTTTAGAATGATTTATGAATTGTGTAATTTTTTATTAATATTATATTATGTTACTGCAATTGATGGATATATCTGTGAAATATGTTTATATTATTTTGTAAGGTTATGTATAGTTTTGTTTTTTTTCTATCCCCACATTAGGGTCTTTGTACCAAAATGCTAAATAAATAAATAAATAAATAAACATATTAGTTACTAGTTGACTGTTACATTATTCAGAAGCATGTATTAAGGAAATGATCAAGTTGATTTACACAAATTTCATTGTTAGTTCTGCAAATGTTTTAAATCAATCTTCTAATCAATTTCTTTTCAAACTAAGATAAAAGCAATTTTTTACCATTAGTGATAATCTGATCAGAATGAAATAAATGTTCACTTCTATCAGGAAGGAAATTTGTTTTTTGTTGTTTATCAAATCAAATAGATAAGATTCTCTCTTAACTAATATCTACAGATAAAAGTTTCCTTAAGACCATCACTTTGTTTTTTCCAAAAATGAATTAAGCATTTGCTTGGATACTTTCTTTGATATTCCTGAAAATAAGTCTTCCTTAGTTTTTTCTTAAGCCTATCAATTAACTTATCTCTGTTTAAAATTATTGGTTATACTTTTAAGTTAAATTTTTCAGCCCTTAAAATTTCATCTATTTAGATATACAGTAGAGCGTCGTTTATCTGAAGGTCGGTTACCTGAAACGTCGGTTATCCGAAGGAATTCCAGTCGACAAATTTAAATTTTCGCCAGTGCTGTGGCGCTGTAATCTTTGGCTATGTCTTCGGCTACTCAAATATTTTACGTTTTTGATACTAAATTAACATCTGAAGTATAATTTTTTATTGTTTTTATATTTTTCAATATATTTATTTTGTTTGTACAAAATAAAAAAATAATTTTTAACGATACAATAGTCTTCCTTAGGCTTAACATTGACGAAAATTCAACGCAAAGCGACACGCAACAGAGAGAAATTTCAACATGGGATAAATTAATATATTTTTTCATACATGATTCATTATCCGAAAAATAAGTTATCCGAACCACCCCAGTCCCCAATTGATTCGGATAAACGACACTCTACTGTATACTTAGCAGCATTTCAAGGAATACACTCCTATCATGAAACAAATTGTTAGAATACACACAGATGCAGAACAGGAACTATGAGTATTTCCTGAAATGTGAGGTACAAAATTTATTTCTAAAATTCAAAATAATTTTAAAACATCTTATAAATATTATTTTAAGAATATTTATTACTACTTGTGTATTATTTTATAAACAAACAATTAATTCATGCCTGTTATTCTATTATATTTCTTTACTAGCAAAGATACAATACCAGGCTTCACTCAGGAAAATGTATCATAATTCTATCAAAAGTTATAAAATCAAATGATTTTGGAAATGGATTATAGCCCATGTCCTGAATATAAGTATAAAGTTTCCTTAAGACCATCACTTTGTTTTTTCCACAGCTCTGGCAGCTCACAGATATAAAAAGAAGCTCAGCTGTTTGGATTTGACACTCAGACAGACATCAGTCATGAATCCAATTTCGTACACATATATAGATTCAACCAGGTTATTTCTATCATTTTATTAATATTTGAAAAACTACTAATATGACCCTTATATATAAAAAATTTCATCTTTAGAATTTGTTTTCCATAAAACAGCAGGCAACTGAACTGAATATATTATAATCTTTTATAGTACAGTAGAGCATCGATTATCTGACCCCCGATTAACCGTCACATCGGTTAACTGACCGTTCTAGTTGGCAAATTTCAAATGTCCGCAAGTGATGTGGCGCTACAATATTTGGCTATGTCTTGGATACTTTAATATTATTTTTGTTAAATTTTTGCATGTTTTAGCTGGCATCAACAGCTCGACCATTGAAGGGAGGCCAGTATTTAAATGAGACTTAATTTTCAAATTATGAGTGGTTGTTTGTTTTGTGAGCAATAAAATAATTTAAAAATAATTTTTAACAATACAATAGCAACGATTATTATTTTTTAAAAATTTGTTAGGCTAAACATCGATGAAAATTCAACGCGAAGTTGGTTAATGATATACTAATTACATGGGATATACTAATATACTATACTAATAATGTATTTTTTTCATTCTTTTCAGTTATCCGACCAACATGAGTCCCCAATTGAGTCGGATAATTGATGCTCTACTGTAATACCAAACCATTATAAAATGAAGATGTAGCATTGCTACAAAATGTGCTTGAATGTTCAAAAGCTTAAAAAAATTCAAAATTTTTCCATATCATAAATAATATATAAGTGAAAGAAAGAATAAGATAAAATAAAATTTAAAAATAATAATTTTGTATTAACATTCCTGAAAAATACTTTTTATATGGACTTAATGGAAAAAAAAAGTCATAACTACAGTGCAATTTTAAAGTAAATATTAAAATAAATGTTAGACAACATTATCACCATAAAAAATTTTACATTAACTTATATTAAGAAATTATTACGTATAAAAATTCTTTTTACCTGTGTTATCAGGTTGTGAAGAAGTAGATGGTGATGCCATTTCTAAATAATCACTTGAAATGTCATATTTTATAGGAGTAACAAAATCATCAGTAGTATTTGTAAGATTCAAAAAGAGAGACGAATGATCATATTTCGTCATAGGCACATAATTTTCTGAATCTATTTTATTCTCTGAAAAAATTTTTTAACATGATATAATTATTTACTTAAAAATATGAAAATCTTCTATTCAATAAAGTACTGAAGTATAGCTATTAAAGCTACTAATTATATTTTTTCTTAGAGGGGCTAATATACGTAAAAGGAATAAAATAAAACAATAATTATAATTTTTTTTGATCTGTGAAAACTGCATTTAACTAGCATTAATTAATTTATTAAAAATAAATACCAATATTTTAATATCATTCAATATAAAAATTAAAAATGATTTTATTAGTACTTTTGATCAGACCTCATATATGAGGTCTAATCAAAAGTATCAAACCTTATTTTTTTTCATTGCAAGTATTTGCAAAGTAGAGAAGAGACTATGTCATCATATGACCTAGGACCCTATTGCATGTGTGTAATTTTGGTGAGCCTATCCTACCCTGCAGTCACTTTCAGGCATTTGTGATAGTTGCACATTTAAGCTGTTATCACATTAGTGATTAAATGAAAATGAGGTAATGTGTTAAAAAAAGAATTTTCATTCAATTTTGTCATCTATGAGATGCTGTTAGGCACACAAAACCACAGCTCTGGCAGTCTGGTGACTGATTCATTCATCACAAAAGTGCTCCAGCCCACAGATGTCTCTCATCCAGGCATTCCTTGCAAAACACAGGTTCAGCAGCCTCCTTATACTCCAGACATGGCTCTGGCCAATTTTTGGCTCTTTCCCCAAACTCAAGACGCCACTCAGGAAAGAGCTTTCAAGGTGCAGAGGAGATCAAGACTAATGTGACAAAGTGCCTGATGAAGAGATTCCAATAAATGACTTTGAAAATGCCTCCAATAGTGGAAGCATTGCTGGAAGAAATGTGTGAACTCAGAAGGGGACTAGTGTTTCAACCAAATAGATAGGTAGGTTTCTTTTTCCTGATCTCAGATTGGATATTTTTTTATCAGACCCTATATTTCTTTTTTAACAATAATTACAATATGAATTTCAATAGAAGAATTGATTTATGTAATAATTCAAAACAATCAATTTAATTAAATTTATTAAGTGATCTTAAATTTTAAACAGATGGATGAATGCTGAATTAATGACAGCTCTCACTCCTCATTTGATCAAAGGACGGCCTAATACGTATACGTTTACAAAAGCTTTAGCTGAAAATTTATTAGTAGAAGAATGTGGAAATCTTCCAGTTGCTATTGTTCGACCATCAATTGTTACTGCAGCCTGGAGAGAACCTATTCCAGTTTGTTTTTAAATTTTATTTAATAATCTGCTACAGAAATTAGAAAATATTGGATTAAAATTTTTAAATTATTTAATCCATTAGCAAAAGTTTAATAATTTTTATTTGAGAACAACAAAATATTTTCAGAAAATTCTCTTGAATGGAGAATACAATAAAACATTCAGAGAAAAAATATTGGAATAATTATTGTTAATCATAATTATGTTTATTTTTCATTTTATTTCTGAAATTTAAAAAAATCATTTACTTTCTATATATCATTTTGGTTTATTTTTTTATGCTAGAACTTTTAAACAGATCAATTAAATAGACTTGTTGTCCATTAGAAAATTATTTAGAGAAAACAAATTTCATACAGATTTTGCTTTTTGTGTGTCTTATTTACTGATGATTAAAAAGTGCAGATAAGGAATGCTTATTAGAGAAAATTGAAAATTTTATATATTTTTTTGAATATATATATATTAGTGTGTCCCTTATTTTGATGATAAAATTTTGTCACACTTTAATTATAAACCATTTTATTTTAATCTCTTGTACTGAAATAATATATCTACATATGATGATAAACATTTGTGATGTACTGTACACTTAATCATTTAATTAACAGTAGAGAAATTCTAAGAACATACTAAAGTGACTTGTATCAAGTACTTTTGTCTCTGAAACTATGATCTGGAGAAAGTTCAATTATTTGTTTTGCATAAACATTAAATATATATTAGCAAAACACTTTGTATTTTTAACTAATAGCAGTTGAATTACATTGTACAATATGAATAAACTAGTAGCCCAGGACACCCCCTAGTGGGCGTTCTTTACAAATTCCCATGAGGCATGGTTCCTTTGACTCTTTTGTTCCTATCAATATGCTCTACAGCTCTGTTAAAGTCCCAATTGCGTCATAAGGATCTAGATTTCTAGGTATTAAACATTCTATAAATACTTTAAAATAGTTTAATTTGTTTATTTACCTTTGCTTGTAAACCTCGATTTTAAATGTATCCGCCATTTTTTCAACAAATTTCCTGTGAGTCAATGCGTGTCGTTCACTGAGTCACGAGATGCTGTAAACGTACGGCGCAAGGTTAATCAAGGCATATAATAAGGTAAGGTAAGGTATATAATAATTATTTATACCATTCCGTGATATAAATAATAAATTCATATCAATAATAAATTTCTATTACAAATAAAAATAATTTATTGTTAATTTAAAATCATCACTAGGGCACCTCTATTGCCCGTTTTTGGTATACCAAGGAATCTCTAGTTACAACAATCTCAGAAACATGCATCACTTCCATTCTTGACTTACCCAACTTATGGGTCTCCTTATATAAACAGTTAAACAATGATTTACATCATCTGTCACACTGTTAGCATGGACCAGCATCCGCACATGCACCATATTACATCATACACATAACATTGCACACACAACATTGAATATTCGAAATTTGTAGCTGGCTCATAACAACTTTAATCCAAAATTTTTTGTTTCAAATTATATGCATTCCATTNAACTTGGTAAAAACAAAAAAAAAATACCAAAAAAATTCCATCTCATCAATTTTTTTGTTACACTTAAAGTTGTTTGTATTTAGCGTAAAATTCCTAGTTAACTTAAAATTTAGTTTTTTTTTTATTTATTTAAAAAAATGGCCTTAAAACGAAGACTTCTCACATTAATTCTATAAATTATAGCTGGACTTGGCAATAAATAAATAAAAATGTTAATGGGTTGAAGAGAGTAGTGGTAGGGAAAGGTGAGTTAAGTAGTTTTAGCGTTAGGAGGAAAATCGCATGATCGTGTAGATACAGGTTAAAAGCTGATAGTGAGTAATATTACTGGTGAGGTTGAGCATGTTTCAACATGTTATCTGGGATATTAGGAATAAATATAAACAAACTGCTGTTGGATTAGATCATGTTTCAACAAGCTAAATAAGTTCAGTAGCTCTCTGGCCATCTAATGCTACACTTAGTTTATATCCAGCATTTGAACGCTACTGTGCTTGTATTTTTACTTCTGAATATGGCTCGCAGAGGTTGTGTAATTTCTCCCATCAGAGATATTACCAAGGAAAATAGGATGTCAATACGTCAGCTGACTACTGTTGGATGCTCAATTGAGAAACCAGAGAAGGAAATCAGAAACAAGTTTGGAGAAGCATCAAAGAGAAGAAAAGGTGTCATAAGAAAAAAAGAGTAGACCTAAAATTGTATATATAAGTATCAGAAACAATTTTTTTGATTAGTTGTAAGAAAATATAATATAGTTCATTGTAATAAAAAAGAGTTATCATCAAAAATTTGTTTTTATTTTGCAAAAAACCTATACATGATGGGATATTATGAAAGTCATTTTTAGAATCTATGATCTTTAAAACATATAATTCAGCAAAATATCCCATGCAGATGAAAAAACATTTTTTTGCAGACCTGTGTTATGTTAAAATTAGACAGATAATTCTTATGTCTCAAAAAAGAAGAATGTTAATGTGAACCTTTCTGCTCAGAAAGCAGTAGAAATTACAGATTCTACTTTACAGTTCTATAAAACATGACCTGCTCTAAGAATTTTTAAATAATTTTAACAAATTTAATGTCTGATATATGACTACCAAATGTAAAAATGAATTATACGTAACTGAATAATAATATACTGACTTTGATCTATAATTAACAAAACTAAATGGTAAGATTTAATAAGAATCATTTGTTTTACCTCTGTCATACTATTTTGAAAGTAGAAAACAAAAAATCATGTATTTCAATGTTCTAAATATTAATAATTAAAGACATTAACCCACAATTGCATGCAATTGTGCCAAATTTCAACATTATGCCTTGTTTTGTTTATAGAAATGTCCTTGACTGGACTCCCATAGGGAGCCCTTCAAACTTTGACATGGCATGGGCTAATGTGAAATGAGTTCAGCTGGAAATAAATAATGGTAGGGTTGAGATGTTTCTCAGAAGGCCAGAAAATTATTTTTCAGGCACATGAAAACATTTAAATTCTTTCAACAATTTTCCACACCTACTAGTTTTTTCATAGGCATTTTTCATTGAATTGACTTAGCTATGCTTCCATGATATCCTCATGCTACATTTATCCATCTAAATATGTAAAAATTTTGGTAAAAACTTTTTCTGCTTATCACAGCCCTCAAAAATTTGTTGCCTTACAAATGTGATCACATGCAATTTTTCTTTAATGTCACATAATTGAATGCATTAAACAGCAATTTTCCACTCTTATTCATCAAAAATGACATCACGGAGGTATATCACAACTGCTGGAAGAGGTAGTCACAATGTCCTGAATTTTTGTTAACTATGCATAACATGAGCTGTCTGCACTTCATTATGACCTTGAAAACTTGTCTTCATAATATAGTTTGGGGAATTGTGACCTTCAAGAATTTAAATGTTTTCATGTGCCTGAAAAATAATTTTCTGGCCTTCTGAGAAACATCTCAACCCTACCATTATTTATTTCCAGCTGAACTCATTTCACATTAGCCCATGCCATGTCAAAGTTTGAAGGGCTCCCTATGGGAGTCCAGTCAAGGACATTTCTATAAACAAAACAAGGCATAATGTTGAAATTTGGCACATGCAGAGAAGATATATCACAGCATTTTTTCAGAATTGTCAAATTTGAGAAATGGCAATTACATGCAGTGTAATTATGCATGAAAAATCAGTGAAAAATTGTCACCTGATGCATGCAGCTATGCTAAAAGAAAAACTGCACAAAGTAAATTTACAAATCCTATTTCATAACTTTAATATACATTAACATTTGATTCCGATGAAACCGTGTTTTTAATTTAATTTGCTTTATTCAGACACAATAACGTGACTCCTTTCAAACACTTGGCAGATTATTCCAAGTGTTTGAAAGGAGTCACGTTATTATGTCTGAATAAAGCAAAATACATTAACATATAAACAATTGTTTCTCACCTTCTCCTGGTGCCATTACTAAATAATCACTATCTGTTCCTTCTTCTTTAATAGTTGGTTCAGTATGGAGTGTGCTTTCACCAGATAAAGTATGAGGAAATCGACTGAAATAAGAAATTGAAAAACTTTACACAAAGTTTTAAATTATATTTATCAAACATATGGTATTAATATAAACTAATTTTAGTTATAATATAAATAAACTAAAAGTTCTCAAAGTATGTAATGTATGCAAAGTAATATATACCAATAATGTCACAGCAATTTGTAATTTATTAAATAATGTAAACAATCTACAGGATAGCACAAATACGAATGAGAATAGCAAATATTGAAAAATTTTGAAAATTAGGATAAATGCTTGAACTGCATAAATAACAGTACTCTTTAAATTTGGAGTGAAAACATATAAGTTTAGCCGTGATGCCATATGACTAAACTCATACACTGAATTTTCAGAAAATTGCATGGGTGTGGCACTTGTAAGCATTGCACATAATGAGCATAATTCAACAGAATATGCTATTTAAAATAAATATAACTTTAAAAATTATTATATTTTACACTCTTTGCTGTTTGTTCATACTTGGACCAATTCCAATTCATTTCCAATGGACCAATGTGTTTATTTTTGACAATGCAATTTTCTTGCTATCATGTTATTGGTATAAAAACACAAAAAAAGATTTAATTCTGCAAAATTTGCAACAATTAAAAGTTTTGTTTATTATGTAGCAATATTATTCAGTTATCATAACTAATGCTTTTTCCTATTATTATTAGGTTTTTTAAGCTTTACTAAGCTATAAATTTATGTATTCAATACCATGTTGTAAATTGCCAAACTTTTTATGATCCACATATTATTTATTTCCTTCATTTCTCATATAAAAAGCAATGCTAATTAAACAATCAGCCACAAACTTTGCAGCTTTCTGTATTATTATTTTGAGTGATGCTGATTCTAAAAATTAGGTAATCAATTTTTTGAAGCTGCATGATTATATTGCAGAAAAATAAATAAGTAAAATTTACATAATTCAATCAGTCAAAACTAACTGTTTAATCTTAAAGAAAACATTTTTCTGAGTAGAACAAAACAAAACATTGTATTTTGGCTTCCAACCCAGAAGGGAGAAGAGAGTGTTTTTTTTTTCAATTAGGTAATAAAATTCTTTGCAGTTTGTTTACTTTCACAGGAGGATGTGAGAAGAGGAGCCAGTTACATCCATTTTTACAAGTGGATGTGACTGGCTCCTCTCCTCACACCTATGAAAGTAAAAGTTTTACTACTCTGAACTTGAAAAAAACTATCAAACTCCAATTACAAAGAAACCCAATGTCAACTGGTTAAACTTGAGATAATTTACAAAGAGTTGAAATTTGTTTATTTTTCTGAATTTTTAAATCAAATTACATTAAAGTAAACATAAAAAAACCTGCATTTTCTTCAATCCACAAGTATTTTATATTGTTAGAAAAAAAAAATGTAATTGTGGTTTTTAATGCACTATCAATAATTTAACAATTTTAGAAAAAAATAACTGCATCTGGTACACACCATGTGACTCTTGGAGTTCATTTAAAACATGTGAGTAATAAAGGATTATACCTAAAGAAATCATCCAGTATTTATAGGTCAACAATATGAATGCTCTGCAGAGAACATTCATATTGTTGGCATTATTATGACTGACTATGAATGGTCTATAAGAAGTCTAGATCTAAATATAATAAAAAATATCTCTCATCTTTTAAAGTGTAGGTATATCAAGATTAACAGTATAACAACTAAGGAACTTGTTGATATCACCAATTTAGTTGCTACCAATTTCAACAATGCTGTGATCAAGAACCTATATAAATTCATACTAAAATAACTTTGTGGGTGATAGAGAAGACAGTAAGAAACACTGAAAAACCAGATATACTTTCCTATCTTTGACATAATATGTGCTTGATTCTTGTTGGTAGTAAATATTATGTCCATGTTAAATTTTTAGCTTTTATTAGTGTAATGAAGTTTCATATCTGCACTGTATCTATTGTTTTGTATCATTACACACTAAAACCTCTATACTACCCCCATGAGCATGATGCATTATATAATGCAGACCAGAGTGCCTAATAGTAGAAAATGTTTTAGCCAGAAGTATAACACATACCTTAAGTGAAATTCAGACAAGTTGTTATCAACTTCATCAAAAGAAAGTGAACTGCTGGATGAACAGACTCCACTTGGGCTTAAAATAAAACAAGTTAAATTAAAGTTATCATAGTTAACTTTAAAAAATACTTAAAATATAAATTAATTATAACTGATTAAATTTGCTATATGTAAAATTTGAGTTCAAAGTTTTCAACTAACTATAAATTTGCTAGTGATAGACAATAATGAATAAAAGTATAATTATAAACATGTATAAACTTTTAGATATTTTAAGTATCTAAATATTTGCTAGTGCTTTAAATTAAAAAAAAAATTGAAAAATAAAATTTTTATTTTATAATTATCGGTTGTAAGTTAAAGTCAAGATTTTCCTATTTTTCTATGTAAAAAAAAAATTCCTTAAGAAATTTAAGTTTTACAGATTTTCCAAGTAAATATACACTTTTAAAGGTATAAATTTAGAAACAGAAATAAATTTTTAATGGAAAAATATATACATTCATTGTTAATTTGAAGTATTTGAACTGACTAATGAAATGAGATTTAATTAAAACTGCAGACAAATTTCTTCTTTACTTTTGGACATTAATGTCACCTCAAAAAAAAAAAATTAATTAACTAATGATCAAAATTTTAATAAGAATAGCAATCAGCAGGTTATTTTAAAAATTCTAATTTTTCACATTACATTAAATACAGGCAAATTTTTCCTTCCAACAATTTCACAAAATTCTTAAATCTTTGAAAGTTTGAAATTTTTCTATACATGAACTGGAACCATCCCATTTTAATATAAATAGTCTAACATCCTAATATACTGAAGCTATTTAATTACATTAAATAATTTATTAACTTTTTCATATAATTTAATATACCATATTTACTCACATATAAGATGACCTCGCATATAGGACGAGGTGTAACTTTAAAGATCAAAATAAAGAAAATTAGATTTATTAATACAGTTCTAATTTTATTTTGTTTAATCACAAGTAAAATATCAAATGAACGTAAATGCACACATTGGCCCATAAAAATTACTAGCATTTTAAACTTTAAGGAAAAACCTTGTAAAATTGACAACATAATTTGTTCATGTAAAGGTGGACAATCAGGAAAACCTTTTTGCCAGTTCTTAACAGTCGAATCCACTCTATGTCGATTACACTTATGAGTTTCTCCAAATTCTGATTTCTGAATAATCATCTGTTTTCATGTGGGAATGGATTAAAACTTATAATGTGCTTCCATGTAATTTTGGAATTTCAATCTGGCATTGAATTCAAAAGCTTTGCTTTTTCTTTTTCTATTGCTATTCATCTTTACTCATGAAAATATAAAAGAACAATTTTAAAAAATAAAGACAAAATCTGCCCAAAAGGTCATTTATTTTCTCTGTGTTCCAAGACTATACACTTTTTCAGCGACTGACCTTTCTTTGTAGGCCACTTGTCGCCGGAAGTTACAAAAAGTCCATTTAAAAAACACAAAACATATCCAATTAAAATTATAAATAATTTTTAAAAAAGGAACTGGTGACATAGATGTCTTGTTTGCATCCATCTATACTTTCTTTGGGGGGGTGTTTCCAATGGATAAAAGTGGTAACACCCCCCAAAGAAGGTACAGATGGATGCAAGCAAGACATCTGTATGTCACCAGTTCCTTTTTTAGAAATTATTTATAATTTTAATTGGATATGTTTTGTGTTTTTTAAATGGACATTTTGTAACTTCCGGCGACAAGTAGCCTACAAAGAAAGGTCAGTTGCCAAAAAAGTGTGTAGTCTTGGAACACAGAGAAAATATATGGTGATCCCTTTTGGGCAGATTTTGTCTTCATTTTTTAAACAATAATTCTCCATTGGATGAAAAATTTACAGGATAAAAGAAGATTCAAATGACCTAGGTAAAATACTTATGTTTTTACAAGAGGGTAATACAAGAATGTTTAATACAAAAGGGTATGCATACGGTAAAAAATGCAAATACAAAGTTCACAAAAATTATTTGCAAAAACACAAAGAATCTTTCGCTTGTGCGTATAGGACGTCTTAGGAATTTGAAGCCATGATAAATGAATAGAAAACCTCACCTTATATGGGAGTAAATACGGCATTTAGTAGCCACCCAGTAAATATAAGGTAAATTTATTATTTGTCTTATTTATTGCATTTTTCAAATAATTTTTAGTCACAAAAAAATTTTAATTCCAAAGACATATGACATTTTGATTCTTAAAAATTGAAGGATTTATATATGAGCCACTCACTTGCCAAATCGATTAACTCCAAAAATCAAAAAGTAGGAAAATTGATAATATAAATTATTTTAAAAATTCTTTTTAAACTTTAAATGTAAATAAACATTGTAGAATATATTCTTATATACCATTATATTAAAGCATAGCTTTAATGTAACGATATATGAAATTAGTTATGCAAAAAATGTAAAAATAATAATGATTATATTGGGGGTTTACTAATGGAGTTAATCGATTTGGCCTGTGAACAGCTCATATGTAAATAAATAAATTTCAAATTGAGTTATTATAAATTAGGAAAAAGAATAAACTAAAAAAGTTACCTCAAAGGTTTATTTGAAGGAGGAGAATATGACACAGTTCTTCCATACATGGTATGGGGTCTTTGAGTATCCAGAAGATGACCAGAAGAACTTGCTGATGAATAATGACTTCTTGAGTGAGGGCTAAAAATATTTCAAATTTTATTAGTAATATAAATAATAGTAGACTACAGAATTTCTGCTTGCATATTAAAATATTAGAAAATTATAAAAATGGAAACTTGTATTAATTAATATAATATAGTGTTTAATGTAAATAAAATCACTCAAAAATTAATATTTTTGATTTTGAAATCCTGTTTAGTGTTGTAAAAACTTATATTTTCAAGAAACATAATGAAACAGAAAAAAATTTCAAAACATTTCTTATATAATTTGAGAACAGGTAAAGTGTCAATTTGGTTTTAAACAATAATATAAGCCAAACAATATTGTAAATAAATAAAAGGAATCATATACTAATTAATTTGATTTTTAGCAATTTTAAAATAACATAAAAAAATATCAGACAACTGCTGAAGAGAATTGTGTCAAAACAAATGCTCCATGTTGAATGTAAATGGAAATGCAGTTGTATTTAACATATTTTGTTAGTTACATTCTCATTTTAAAGTTTTCAACGACTATGAAAAAAATCTAGAATAAATCAATCAATCCTGCTAAAGATTGTCAACTGTATTTTATAGAAACTTTATTCAGGAAATGGAATTACAATTATTCTGTAAATAATAAAGTTTCAGAATACATTTAATTCTTAAATATGCAAGGCTTGCATTTAAATAGTGACTGGTTATTTCATTTAATTTAGTATTATAATAATTATATTAATAGTTCAAAATGTTAAACTTACCTACTATCTTGATGACCTTCACTAACAGTACGGGAACGAGATGGCATACTATCACAACGTTCTCTACTTATTGATGTCAGTGGAATACTGGATGCCATAGGGGGTATAACAGAACCAACTGGATGTCTAGAACTGATGGGTTTGGAATTTTCACTAGTAGATGCACTACGAGGACGAGAGAGAGGTCCTAATTCTTCCTTACTGCCAGAGGACTTCATCGCTCTATTGAAGAAAGCTTATAAATTATTTATCTAATTCAACTACTCAATTGTAATGTCATTGTCACTGTATTTAAATTTATAAGAATAATTTATATTTTAAGTCTCTTCACATAAATATAAATAAATGACTAATTTCATAAAATTTTAAAAACACTAATAAAAATTTTAAATAATTAATTACTAGAATATTATAAATTACTGCAACAAAATTCCATAATTCAATAAAAATTTCACTTTTAATTTTATAGTCTTCAGGTTTAGTTACCATTGCATGATGGTAAGTCATAACTAATCATATATCATTTGCAATAACAATAAATACTGTGAGCTACTGACTTAAAGCTAATGGTAACATTGTAAAAAAAATCAAATCATCTTTGTTTAGTCAGTTCAAAAAAATGTGTGTTCTTCTTAGAGCATAAACAAGAATTTAAGCAGGTCATAAATACACAAATTTACAATATGAAATGAAAAAAAAACAGATTAAACTCAATGTCGAACATTCAAACAAAATTCTTAAAAATTAAACACACATCATATCTGAATTTGATCTTTCTATGCAATGCCTTTCAGTTAATAAAAACAAGAATATAATAATTATATCTTAATATATTACATATAGGTTTTCATATTTTACAGATATATGCCAATAAAGCTTTGCTAATATTATCCCAATATTTTATTTGTTAAGAATTTTATGAAGTATTCTTACAGAATGTTATCAATCAGCAATTTTTTTTTTAATAATATACTAATATATTTACTAAATGATTTAATTTAGTAATGTGTTTTATATCATTTCTGTAAAATTTAATTAAATTTAATTGCAAAATAAATTTCCTCTGAAACTTTATTTGAAGCAATTTTGTTTATTTATTATAGTTATTAAAAAATTTTAGAATTAAAAAAAATAGTGAATATAAAAAAAGTTACAGAAGTATTTTTTTTTGTTAAAGACAGTTGTGCTTGATAAGCATTTAAAATTTATCTTTTCTTGTCTTCAAAGCCTCTTTTTATGTACTGTATAAAAATTTATACAGTACATAAAAAGAGGCTTTGAACACAAGAAAGCTAACACAAAAAAGAATAGGTGTTAAAATTATGTTCTATTTAATAAAAAGTAAAACACATCTGGATACGAGTCCAATTTTGCTTGCCATGTCTAATCACCAGGAACAACTATTTCCATTGCAGAGACAACCTTTCTTTAGAGGCTATGCCTCTGCACAAATATGTANGTGTTGCTTCGCGTTGAATTTTCGTCAATGTTAAGCCTAACAAAGACTATTGTATCGTTAAAAATTATTTTTTATTTTGTACAAACAAAATAAATATATTGAAAAATATAAAAACAATAAAAAATTATACTACAGATGTTAATTAAGTATCAAAAACGTAAAATATTTGAGTAGCCCAAGACATAGCCAAAGATTGAAGCGCCACAGCACTGGCGAAAATTTAAATTTGCCGACTGGAATTCTTTCAGAAAATCGACGCTCTACTGTATTTGTTTGTAGAAAAGGGCTGGCAGAATTACAATAGCCTCTAAAGAAAGGTTGTCTCTGCAATGGAAATAGTTGTTCCTGGTGATTAGACATGGCAAGCAAAATTGGACTCGTATCCAGATGTGTTTTACTTTTTATTAAATTGTAATTCTGCCAGCCCTTTTCTACAAACAAATTATGTTCTATAAAATTAAAATTGTAGTCAATTAACTTGCATTCAACAAGGATAACAGTATAACTTATTTAAAAATAAAAAAACTTTCAAAATTTAAAAAATAGTCTGTTTTCAAAATAAAACATTTCATTGTTTGACAGATTAAAAGAAAATAAAAAATAGAGAAAATGAAGATTTAAAATAAATTCAAATTATTTAAAAAGCTATACTTAAAAAATATTATAAAAATTTACCATTATCAAAATTTAAAGTTTTTAAGACTGCCTAATACATATTAAATCATATTCAGTAATATGTTCTAAAATACTACTTAAAAGCTACCTTGTGAAACAGTCAACTTTAGATACCAGAAACAAATGTAACTAGCAAATACATGTAAATAATAGATAATAGGCATCAAAAATAAAAAATAAGACAGAAAACAAAGTATTTATTCACATAAAAATAATATTTGGCATTTTGTCCCCAATCAAACATCAAATAATTTTAAATTTTTTTATTTTTTGGCTATATACAGCACTAAACACCAACTTCCATCAGAGGTGGAAAGTTAGAGAGGACTGTGAGACACCTGACTGAAATCAGTGTTTAGTGTTATAGATAAAAAAAAAAGACAAATATTACATACAGGAGACGTCCTACCATTTTTGCACTTCTTAGGAATGCAAAGGACTTGCCCACCCCACTTAAGCTTCTGGGGGTGTATTGAATGCCTTTGAAAGGTATGAAATTTGATAGGGACCTCATTTATATATGTTCCACAAAAAGACTGGTGGAAAAGACTGCAAGGGCATGCCATTGATATAAGGCATTCACGGCTATCTACATCTCTGTCAATATATGTCTTTGACCCAGATATAGACACACAATTATGACAAGCTAGTGTCCTGGTAACAATGCAACACACCAACTGCCTTAGATTTTCGGAGGCTTTAGAAGTTTTTAAGGCAAGTTTAAACAGCATGTGTATTAATTATAAGGAGGAACTTTTTCTGTCAGTAGTTTTGCAGGCCCTTTACGAACTGTAGTTATAATATTTAGTTATTGTAGGATTTATGGCACATGCTCATACTGATGCATGATGTTATATTCCATTTTTTCAAAATGTTTAGGCAGATGCCAATATGATAGGCAATAATGCCTCATATTTTTAAATCTGTCCCACTCTCAATGGAACAGATTTAAAAATGATATGATTTGATACTTTTATTTTTTTTTTTAACATTCAAGATTTTTATTTTAAATCAAAGAAAATGTTCAGTCAAAGAAAGGGCAACATTTATCTGAAGTGAAGGAAGACTCTGAAGGAGCCATAAAATATTTGTGAAGTACATTTTTCTGACACCAGACTTTAGGTTTTGAGTGAGAATTGTTCAATATCCAGTGTGAAGTGTTCTATATGAATCAATTCAGTTAGCTGGCTTCTGTTTCATAAGCCAGTTATAAAATAATTAAGTTTTTGACAAAAAAAGTAAGTTTTACTAAGAATTTGGCCAAAGAACAAATGTTATAAATAGGCCAAACCGAGAATGGCATCAGAGAGCATTTCATCCAATGATGCAATGACAGTCAATGTATTAACCCTTTCATGTTGAGGGTACCGATCGGTCGGTACCACAATTGTTAAGCAAAACTACCAATTCGTCAGCACCCTAGTAAAAATTGATTTTGTAAAATTTAATCGACAACAGATGTCAGCACTTGATGGCAGCATCTTGTCTATCGTCTGTTTCACATATTTTTTTTCAGGTGGTGTTTTGTTGACTTAAGAAAAAAAAGCATTAATTAAAATTTTTAAATTAATTTTTTTCTGATAATTTTTTATTTCATTTTTAGCATATTCATGCAATAATATTACTATAGTAAGTTCATTCATGCTATAATAAGTTTATTCAGCTATAATAAGTCAACATGTTATAAATATTCAAGTTGTGACCATCAGTTCTGACATTTTATTTATTTTTTATTTTAATCTAAAATATCAACAAATGTAACATTTATTACTACTGTTAATCATATGTTTATTACAAAAGTTTATATTCTTGTTCAATATGAAGTGAATAAAGTATATTAGTTCATTATATTAGTTGATAGCAGAATAAAGTTTTGATTTCAAACAAATGTTTGATATAATGTGCAATAATTTCAGAACAAATAAACTTACATGCATAAGTGTTATGTAGAGTTGTACAGTACAAAACAATATTCTATGTCTTTCTGGCTCAGTGCCAGCAAAAATCTAGATAACTAGACAATGTTAATTTTGGCAAAAAGTTGGAAATTATCAAGTTTAAATGTCAGTTGATATATATATATATTTTTTTTCCTTATAAATTTTTCTAATAAAATATACTGAAAAATATCGTATTTAAAACTAAAGATATTAATAAATGGACGTGATTTTTTTCATATGACTATAATGATAATTTGATTTTTGATGAATTTTTAAAATAATATCAGCTGACTAACCTATATTGCCTTAGGACAGATTACAACATAAACAAGATGGTGGTGGTAAAGGTTAATACTACGAAGCAAAAAGAAAATCGAAAACCATGAAATATTCTTATGTCATCTATGATATTAAAGTTGTTGATTTTAAGCAGAATTTTTGAAGTTAAGAATTTTTTATGTTTGTACTTACCCTAATATAGCTTCATGCATATTCTGTGCAATTATAGTATCTTCAGTTTGCATCCATAATTCACCTGCTCCTGTTACTGATGAACGACCCAACTCCATAAAGAAGAAGCAATCTGAATGCCCACATCTTCGAATGCTCATCAACTATTAAATGACAACACAATTCATTATTGAAAGAATGCTTGTAACATATACATTTCATGGAAATCAAAAAGTTTCCACAAATAAAAATTAGATAGTATGTTTAATGTAAATATTTTTAATGATTTAACCTATAGGAAAGAAAAACAAATCCATATTTGTTATTGTTTTAAATGTCAAATGTGAATTTAACATATTGACTGCTAACTACAAGTTAACTTATAAATGACTGATTCTTTTAGGATGTCTCGTACAAGTTATCTTGTGAAATGCAATCTGGCCTGCAGCATCTGATATAAACATATTCATAGAAAATAAATGCTAATAATAAATAAATAGTTGGGTTCTGGATTAAGAATTAAAAATAAATGTGACACCACAAACAGAATTTATTTTTTTTAAAAAGTGGAAAAGTTTACACTATAAAATACACAGTAATATATACAAAATCAAAATGGCATTGGATTTTAGCAATAATGGATTGGCAGTCAACATGTTAATGTCAGTCTTATTACCACTTTCTGAGAAAATACCGATACAAATAAGTATCACCTCTAAGCCTTTAGATTTCCAGTATAGTTAGAGTATAATAGATGAATGAACTTTTTCAATTCTTTGTCCAGAATCTGCTTCAGGTTCACTGTCGTTCCAAATGTGGAATGCGAAGAATTTCGAACACTTCTGAATAAAAATTGCTTGAACCAGTAATGAATTGCTAATAAAGATTTGAATGAATGTACCCCAAGACTGTATTTTATTGCTGTGGGAGAGCTATGAGTGAATAAAATATAATTACTGATGCATATGGTTTTCACAGGTGTATCGCCATGCATATGATATTGCATTACTTTCCTTGTAGTTTACACAATTTCCCAATTTGAACCCAATTTGTCAAAAAACTTGTCTTTTTTTTGACAAATTCAAGTGTTTCCAAGTACACTTGATACTTACATCATTTAGTATTCCTTTATAGACAATACATTATAACTTTATTTTAAAAAATTTACTAAACATTTCTTTTAGAATTCAATATTTTTATATACTTCCAATAATAGCCATCTCTACACTGTGGCCAGTTTTTTAAGAATGTTTCTTTTTAAAATTCATATAAAATAACTTTCTAAACAATGGCCATTTTTTTTATATTCCTGTCAGTGGTCTGTTAAGATGTTGACTGTATAATTATATATAAAGAAATTCCTGAAATTTGATAAAATTAAACATAGACTATACATAGAACTGGAATTATTACATCACTAACCTACAGTATCTTTCCTATGTTTCCAGTAGCCACTTGACATTGCAAAATCCAAAGGGTAAATGCTTTTAACCCTGTTCAATGGCCAGCTTCAGGCATTTCCATTAGAGACCTGTGTTGGTAGTTAAACATTTTTAAATGTTCTGGAATTCCAGAACATTTAAAAAGTACTGTGGATTTTGTAACATCAGGTGGCTGCTGGAAATGTGTGAAACATGTAGTATATTAGTGATTGATAAAATTACTTGATATCTTCATGTAATTTGAAATATCATAGAACAACTAATTAATATAACTGTTCATAACTGAAAATAAACCTTTAGATCCAGCTTTTATTTAACAGCTGATGTTTTTGACCATGAGTGAATGACATTATCAGGCTTCTAACATAAACAACAAAGTTCAAAAAAGAACAAAAACATTCAAAATTACAGAATATTTCATTAATCATTAAATTTTAAACTTTGATGGAACACTTAGTCTATTTCTTACATTTAAAATATTTCTTGAACTGCACTTGCCATATTTTAAATTACATAAAGATATTAGCTTGAATGGTAATTTTAAAGTCAAATACAATTGAAGGACTTCATGAGAAAACTGTAAAGAATTTTTACAATCTACAAAACAAAAGTAAACAAAATTTAGCAATAACATAAGAATTAAAATTTCTTCCATGTTTTGAAACCGTGTCGCATCTTTGTTTGTTTTATAAACACAATGTAGCGTAAAACAATCACTTGGCACCATTCATTCTTTTATTTCAATGAATATTGAAATAAAAGAATGAATGGTGCCAAGTGATCATTATTATGCTACATTGCATTTATAAAACAAACATAAGAATTAAAAACTACATTTAAATGTAAAAAAAAAAAAAACTACAGATGGAAGTGCTTAGTGTGCCCTTAACCTGTCCTATGTTGTTCCTGAAAATATTTGTGTTGACCTCATTGGCCTGCGTGGGTGATCCCGAATATTTTCGTGTTTATATCGAAATGTTTTTGATACTAGATGTCGCTATGTGTCACAATTTTTATATTAAAATGAACTTTTAAAATATAATTTTTTTGTTTCTATATTATTCAATATATTTATTTTGTTTGTGAAACATAAAAAATAATTTTTTATGATACTGTAAATATGATTATTATTAAAAAGAAATTTTTTTAGGCTTAACATTGATGAAAATTCAGCATGGCGTCACAGGCAACAAATAAAAATTTCAACATCGAATAGATTAAAGTTTATACACTTATTAGTCTGACAATTTAAAAATTTCTAATTCTTCTAGTCCTCTGAGACTAAAGAAATAAGAAAAGTAAGGGACATCTCTGACCTTCTGAGTCAGAGATGTCACTTACTTTTCTTATAATTTCAGTTTCTCTTAGGCTTCCCTTTACATCTTTGTTCATGGTATATGCTGCCAATGCTGTCATTATCTGTTTTTCTTTATTGGGCATTGTGCTCCACCATTCTTGCCTTGAGGGAACACGTGGTAGCAGCAATATATTCCAAGTCCTTACCATCTCTATTATCCTTAACCAGTACAAGTATACTCCAGGCAATCAAAGCAGATTCAGCTGATCTTTTTGTTCCTAAGTAGCATATGTACCATAGAATTCCTTTTAAAACCAGGATTTTCCACTCATCCTGGCTATCTCCTTAAAGATATATCTGACCACCTTACTCATTGATGTCCCTTTTATGTAACCTGTCAGGCATTTTATTCTGATACTGCTGGATCATACACTCAATAGTTTTGGTGCTCTTATGCTACATTCGTTATATACTGCCTATTAATTCCACAGTCATGTCCATAACATTCAAACAATGGGAGAATGCTCTTCTAAGGTTATAAATGCCAACAACTTGAAGTGATAGGGATTATGGAATATTCTCAGGATAAACATATGGTGGTAGTTTAATTCCTAAAATCAAAACTTATATAATACTTGATAGTGGTTAGGGATAATAAGGGTGGTAAAGACATGGAATAGATTGCTGCTACCACATGTTCCCTCAAGGCAAGAATGGTGGAGCACAATGGCCCAATAAAGAAAAACCAGACAATTGCAGCATTGGCAGCCTATACCATGAACTAAGATATGGAAGGAAACCCAAGGAAAACTGAAATTATAAGAAAAGTGACATATCTGACCTCGGAAGATTAGAAATTAGAAATTTATAAATCATCATGGAATAATAAATTTATAACTTTAAGGATGCTGAAGCATTTCTGTTTGCTTAGACATCTTTGTATGAAATTAAATGAGGTTGTGTACAATCAATTGCCATTTTTTAGGCAATTGATTTAAAATGTAGTTTGAATTCATATGTTATTCTTAAATTTTGTTTACTTTTGTTTTGTAGATTGTAAAAATTCTTTACAGTTTTCTCATGAAGTCCTTCAATTTCAAGCTAATATCTTTATGTAATTTAAAATATGGCAAAGGCATCTCAAGAAATATTTTAAATGTAACAAACAGACTAAGTGTTTCATCAAAGTTTAAAATTTAATGATTAATGAAATATTCTGTAATTTTGAATGTTTTTATTGTTTTTTGAATTTTGTTGTTTATGTTAGAAGACTGATAATGAGTATTCAATCATAAATGAAGATGTTAGCTTTCAAATAAATCAATGTTTGCTGGAGTTAATGATTTATTTGCAGTGTTTAAAAAGTTAATTTATAAAAAAATTAACAACGGCATAAAATACTTAAATTTGACTATATTTAATTGGTTATATGATTATAGTATGGCCACATCATCAGTCAATAACAATTTGAACTCAAAACTGTCATTAAAATAATTATAAATATAAATCTAGTTTTAATGTATACAAATTCTTATTGCTGTCAACAAGTATATGTCAATAAACAAATTTGTTTCTAATAAAATAAATTATTCTTACTGCTATGATAAAGACTGAAGAAAATATATCATTATACAGGACCAAACAAAATGAAGTCTAACATAAAAATATTAATTAAGTATAACATAAAAATTAGAAGCCAATATCTTCTTTCTATGTTTGTTAATGATCTATTTGAAGGAAATTATAATGGCTGTATTTATTATCAACAAATACAGTTAAAACAATCTAATATATGAAATAATTAGTTTAAATACATATAGGAAAAATTCATTCAGATATTAATTTTGAGTTATAATAGAGTTTAAAAATCATAAATTTTACTCACAGGAAATTCTAAAGACTCAGGTTTGTCACTGTGAGGATTCACCTTTACAAGACTCAAAGACTTAGCAGTTAAACAGAGGCGGTGAGTGCCAGATATATTTCTACTACTTCCTAAACCTTTATTTTTCACAATTACTTGCCAAACATGTTCAAAATTAGGTTTAGGTGTTGTATCTCCTTCCAGACCAAGAGTACCATGTTGAAGTTCCAACATTGCTGTTAACTATTGATTTAATTCATCATCATTTTCAGTTACAACTGCAAAACAATCATCACGAGTATAAAGTGCAATAACATTTTTCTGTTTAGAATCTAACTTTCTATTAATGTTAAAACAGGTCTTCAATATAATGCTCCGTTTTGGTTGGATACCAGCTTTCCATTTCTTTTCATTGTCATAATATTCAAGTCTAGCAGGTCCTGTTGGAGTCTCAGTCCGAAGCACAAAATATTTCTTCTTCATTGTCTAAAAAATTTTTATCAGATTTTAAACATAAACAGAAAAAGTTAAATTTTTTTTAAACAAGACATTTTTTAAAAACATAACATAAGCAGTCTTCAAAAACAAATAAATGATATTTTTTTATTTCAAACCAATTTCATGTTTATGATACTTTTGGATGCAGAATATGTCTGATCACACAAATGAGGTTCAGGGGAAATTTGCATTAGAAAAATATTATAACAATAGATGTAAAAATGTTACAATAAAATGTGATAGTACCTTGGCTAAGCCTATAGACATTAATTGGAAAAATTTGCCAAAATCCAGGGAGATTCTGTGTTTTAAAAGTGAAATTGGAATGTCCCATATCTAAATGCCTGGTTAAAAGAATTAAAATTAAGCATGAAGAGATATTATGAGTGAGACACAGTATATGAAAGATGAGTTGGTCACAGTTACTGATTTTTACAAAAATCCAAAGAAAAGAAAAGAAAAAAAAATCAGCTTTTATTTCAAAATGCTTTTCATTATTATTTAATAAGTGAAATTTTATGTAGGCTTAAATTCAAATGAAATATTCACTTGTTCTCTGCATAGAAAATTTGCAAATGAATGAATTGTGTTTAAAAACTTTTCTGAATTGTCTAAATTAAATAGCTAACAAGTTTTATTATTACTTCAAAAACATTTCCTTTCGTTTTTTTTTTTTTGGTAGGTATATTTTGACACTCATGCTTTAAAACTTATTAGAATATTACAAATACTTTATTGTAATAAGAAAATTCTTGTTACAGGGGGTTAGCTTTAGAGAATTACAAAAATACAATTATTACTTATTGAAACATTTTTTTAAATATCTTGTTACATAAATTTTGCTAAACATATTAGTCATTCAATCTACATATCATATTTTCAAATTCTTTAAAATATAAACAAAAAAGTAATGAATATTATACATCTTATACAATGGAAAATTTTTCTTAATTAGTTCTGAAGTTTTCTTCTTAATTTAAATCAAAAAATCTCTTTTAATTTGAATTTACATTACGCTTCTTCAATCTTTGGACACTCAGTAAGAATATAATAAATGATTTATAAAAATGATTGTAAAGAACAAGTAGAACTTGCATACCCGCTGGCAGAAGAAGTTTAATAAATTTAGTGGTAATTATATCCATTCCAGGAGCTGTTTTCATTTTTAATTTACAAATTGATATATCCAGATCTTCGATAGATATTGGAATATCTAAACTTTCATTGAAAGAAATTTTTTATATCGGCATAAGGAAGACTGTAATTCCTGTAAATCTGTTAAAAAAGTTAGCCATTTAAAAGAATCTATTTGCATTGATTAATCACAATTGAAACATCGTAATTTCTTAATCGTAGACTTTAAAAGTTCACTATTTTTATTTTCTAAGATTATTTGTTGAATTTTTTTATAGTAATTAGATTTCTTAGATTTTAATAGATTGAAATACAAATTTTTGGCTTAACAATATTGACTGAATGCCGTTGATGTAGATAATTTTTTAAACTGAAGTAATGCTTTAATAATTTTCATTCTTAAATTCTTATATCCGGTATAAACTTTCATTATTATTATGTGCTGCATGCAAGGGACTTAATAATTGAGACTCAACAATACGTAGGTCTTGAATAGGAGAGTTTAAATTGATCATATGTCATTGCGGAGTATTCTCAGAAGTAAAATATGGGGTAAAAGAATCCAAGTATACCAGCCCCTCCAGCACATAGCTATATGTCAAAGAATAATTGCCCAACAGTATAGAATCACCTCGGAGTTTTGGATATTTACCTGCTTTCCTTAACTCACTTAAAAAAGGAATTAATTGTTTACGTCTTAATCTAGATCTTTTTATAAGATCCTGTGAAATTTGAGTTTCTTTCCATACGTTCGATAGGTTTTGCTGTTTCATTTTTATAAAACTCGAATATATATAATCTCTTATTTGGGTATTTTTAATAATTAATTTAATTGTTGGATACTGTGATTTAGTTATTGGAATAATCGCTATTAAATCATCCATTGTAACTTCATGTAGTTCTAATGATTCATTAATAAGATTAAACACTTCTAGCTTGGTAGGATTAGTTTTACTGGGATATCTATATAACATTATATTATTTCGATGTTGCGCATTAACCATATTGTCCATTCGATATTGCATACTTTCATTTTCTATTTTCAAATTAGCAATTTGTTGTTCAAGATTAATTATTTGGCTATTCATTTTTTGATTCTGGACTTTAGTTTCTTGGATACTATTATGAATCTGGTCCAAATCTTCTTTGATAATAGTCATTTGACTTAATATTCTCGTATTAGAAACATTAATTAATTCAGAAATTTTATTCCATAGTGTTATACTTGATATATCAGATGAATTTTTTCCTGGCAAAGAAGATAATAAATCATATGGCTCACCTGATAGTTGTGAACTTAGAAGTGTAGTTTCAGGGTTCAAACCTATGTTTGCAGAAGATGGTTCAGGAGAAGTTCTTTCGACGTGTAAATTGTAATCAGTAATTAACCTGGTATTAGTGGTCGAAGCAGTTTCCTTTCTATTAGTTGATTTTAACTTTTGAAGTGGTGGTCTTCCTCTTTTAGTTGGCAAGCATTGCATATTAATTATGTTGATAAATTTTCCAACAATTATAATGTTAACACACAGCCCAAACAAATAAAATTTTAACGTAAAATTATTAAACAGGATACATTCTTTACCTGTATTTGAAGTGAGTAAAAAAACGCGCCAGCAGCTTCAGCAGACAGAAGCGCCCCCCCAAAACTTATTAGAATATAAAAAATAATGTAAAAGCATGGTCATGCTTTCAGAAAGAAAAAAATATATGAAAAAGTCAGTCAAAACAAAAATCCAGCAAGGGTTTGCTTAAATTTCTCAGCAACATTTAAAACTGTGTGTAGTACCATTTGTTATATTTTATTAAAAAACTTTTTATATTTTTAATTATTATAAAATGGCAAAAAGCTTAATTTTGAAAGTAGGGATGGATTTTATAATAAATTGTAAATGCTAGTAATGAGTAAAATCGTCATTAAATCCAACCCTACTTGAGATATGACATGACACCCTTTATCTTCTCACCCTGTTGACCTTTAACAATCAAAATTCGATACCATCAATCCCTCTAATACAAAAATCTCCTACAAAACTTCAGAAATTTTCAACAAAAACACAGGAGTTTCAAAAACAGCTTCAAAGAGGGTAAACAAAATCATGCCACACATGCATACATATATACACTCTAATATTCATACATACAGAAAAGACTCCAAAACTTTTTTGCATTTCTCAATGTTTCAAGGTCCAAAGTCCAAAAATGTAAAAATCTGGGGGGGTCATTTTTTTGATTGATTACCATACTTTCCCTGTTATATATAAAAAAAGCTTGGAAAGTAAAAATTGCTATTTTTTGCAAACACTGGTAAATTTTTCAGAAAAATATTGCATGCTATTGTCGTAAAGAAATTTTGTATTTTTGGATGTTAAAATGTCTGTTAATCAATGTAGGCTTATTATATCAAGTTTATAATTGTATATGTTACCCTGCAATAATGTGTGTTTAAATTAAAGCATTCTTTTAATTAAAAAGTTTTTACATTAATTTATTAGTTTAATGTTGCATGGAAAATTATACAGTAGGCCTATTTAACTGGGCTGCAATTTGAAAAAATTATAGACCTATAAATTCCCACTATTGTCTGTCCTTCCTTAATCTCAAGAACTGAGTTAAATAGATGAAAATCAAGACCAGATATGAAAAGCTTAGGGTCAGGAGGCCCTGATTAACTATATACAAACTTTCAGCTTGCATCAGAATTCATGTTATTTCAATTCAAAAATTTTCTCTAAAAGGAATTAGATGACTGGGATTACTCCATTGCTAACATGAAAAGTATGATATACAGGGGCAAGACACTACTAATTTGAGGTGGAGAACATATACGTAGTATGATCTAAAAGTTTGGAAACTTGGCTTAAAATTCCTTATCTTAAAAAGTTTATATTGCCAATGCATAACCATCTTTAAAGTAATCACCTTGGGCAATGATACACTTTTGCCAGCGCTTGTATAACTTCTGGAAGCACTGCTGGAAGCCATTTTTTGAAACCTCCCGTAAGGCCTCCTGCGATGCTGCACTCATCTCATATGATGACACAAAACGGCATCCCTGCAAATACTTTTTCATTGATGGAAACAAATAAAAATCACACGGGGCTAAGTCTGGTGAATAGGCAGGGTGTGGAAGCACATTAATTTGAGTTTTGGCGAGAAACTGTGTGACCATTTGGGACCAATGTGCAGGTGCATTGCATGTAGAAGGTACCAGTATCCACTTTGCCAGATCTGTGGCCATTTACGACAAATGGATTCCCTCAAATGACATAAAATGTCTAGATAATGCTCCTTGTTTACTGTTCTGCCTTCGGGAATAAATTCTGAATGAACAACTCCTTGAGAATCAAAAAACACCACCATCATGACTTTTCCTTTGCTTGGTGCATGTTAAGATCTTCTGTTAAAATATGCTAGCAACTAGTCTTTGATAAGTGAGTAGCCGCAGCAATTTTTTCAAGGGTTTGGAGATGATCTTTGCGAACACGTTGAGACCAACTCAACATTTTCCTTGTTCCATGAAGTCGAAGGTCGGCCAGCGTGTTCATCATCTGCAATGGATTCTCGGCCCTCTTTAAAATGCTAATGCCATTTGTACACCTTTGATTTCGCCATGGTAAAATCACCATACACGTTTCTTAGCAATTATAAAGTCTCCATAGGTGTTTTACCTAAACAAGTGTTTCTCAACGGGGGCGATATTGCCCCCATGTGGGTGTTTTTCCATATTGAGGGGGCGATTAGTAACAATTTATATTTTGGGGAGAGGCAAAAAACAATTTTCTGGGCGATATAATAAAACATTATATTAAGAATAATTATATATTTTATTCATTATATCGTACAATAATTAAACA